CTCCATTTTGTCAGAATATGATTCGAATTTACATGGCAGACATTTGTCTTCTATTGACAATGTTAGGCAGCGCTCCTGCGTGGCCTGGGACTGTTATAGGTCCGAAACACCAAGGATACCAAGGAATGTAGGACTTTACTCTGGCATGGATAAATCGTCTTGATACTGTTCAAACTTATAAATTAATAGCTGTTATTAATGTCAGGTTCTTCGGGCATATTCTTTCTCTTGATACCAGCTGAAAAACTTAGTGGAAAACTTTGAGGCGGATCTACGAGCCTACACTACTTAGGCCTATTCCCTTCTTAGGCCTGTCTGTAACATTTATGAAGCTGTTGACCTTCCAATATTTATGTAGAAAGATTTGTTGCTCCTGTGTTAAAGAATGTCACAAGACTCTGGTTGTACTACCACGATTTCCTCGTTTAACCGTATATATTACTTTCAGTCATTAGTAAGCGTATCATTTATGATTAATCTAATAAACAAGTCGAGTTTGTTGTTAATTTTGATTCTTCTAACTTTCTTTGGAACTCTTAATTTCTTCGAGGTAAATTACTGTATAACAATGCGCCACCAGAATATAGTGAAATAATAGTTGCAAACTCCGTAGACTGTTTACAAACCAGACTGGATACAAGATGATTTTGGATACATTCTACACTCCAAAATGAGTTTAAGGCAACACCTGCCTCTCATAAGGTTATTATATCTTACATGAATGAATTCTGGGCACTAATCGCTTGTGTGATTATCCCAGGGAGTCTCTGAGTGTGTGTGCTACTCTTAATTGTCGCTTACACAGTTTACACTTAGTAATCAAAAACGCTTCGTAATCAAATCAAAAATGTAGTAATATTATTTGTTGCTAAACGATTCATATTTCCCTGCATATTTATTATTTATAGCCTTAACAATGAAATTATATCGCGAGTTTTAATTAAGTTATAAAGATCAATAGCGTTTACGCAGCATATCAAAACCCATGCCATCATTATACGAAAAGATCAAGTCATCCATTAATAAACATAACGTAATTTAGAAGCTGATATATTTTTAAACCATGATAACGTATACAAGCCAAGCGTAACTTTGAAATATCAATTTTTTACTTTATAATCAACTTTACTTCAATGTGAAAATTCAAAAATGATATAACGAAACTACTCTGATGTATTTTTAAACCATGATAACTTATACAAGCCAAGCGTAACTTTTAAGTATAAATTTTGTACTTCATAATCAACTTTACTTCAATGTAAAAATTCAAAAATGATATAACGAAACGACATGTCAGGAATTTTTACTTCATAATCAACTTTACTTCAATGTGAAAATTCAAAAATGATATAACGAAACGACATGTCAGGTCGTGTCCGCAGCATCCAAGTCTCGGGCGCGGAGGGGGCGCCGCTGGCATCCTGGCCCGCCTCTCCCTTGGCTCTGCCTCTGAACAAAATGGAGATCGCAGCCCGCGGTGGGGGGCGTACGGTGCAGCGTCTATTCAGAAGCATTAATTGTGAATTTAACAGAATTTCATCATGAATTCACCAGTATTCATCATGAATTCATCAGAATATCACCATGAATTCATCAGAATTTCATCATGGATTCATCACAATTTCTAATTCTGATGAATCGATTACGATTAATGATAATTTAATCTTCACAAGAATGAATAAATATCATGGATAGAAGTTGTAATTTTACATACGTATATGGCATAGTTTAATTATTGTGGCATAGTTTAAGCTAAGTATTGTGCAAGCTAGTTTCAAATTCCAGCATAATTACGTTTGTCAAAATGAATATAATAGACGCTACTTAAAAATAGCTTGCTTCATTTTGAAGTTTTTAAAATCTTCAGAAAAATAACCTTCTTTGGGTCCGGTTTTCAAAAATTCTACATTGTTGAGCTGCGGACCGACGTATATCTTTTTTAAAGTTTTCGTTTCTAAGTTACATCCAGCCCTTACATTCAACTGCAGCCTTGTGTTGATTTCTTATTAATCTTATTTCAGTGACTAAGCGAATAATTAAATTTCGATTCTGATTTGAATTTCGGATTCTGGAATTTTTAATCTATTATGGAATTCTAAATTTTGAATTTGGATTCTGATTACCCAATATATCATTGCGTACTGTTCTTCAGCTTCGATATTGTACTTATTCAAACGATGCACTTGCATCGTTACTCGTTATTTATCGTCGATACGTTATTTTACTCATGTCACGTTATGTCAATTGTGTGAATAATTGTTAATATAAATAAAGGTCCAGTGTAATGAAGCTCAATTGTGGCTGAGATGATTCTACGAAAAATATATTTTTTCTTGCAAATGACATCACTCGACAGGCAATGCTTGACGATTACCGTGCGACTGGTATGAAGGAAACGTAAACTGACGATTCAGCCTATACATAAAATAGAAATGTTATAAAATAAAATGTGCGCATTAATTTTGTAATATATGAGATGGCTACATAGTTGTTCCATTGAATGCCTCAATATGTTCATGCAATCTAAATATAGCTTTGTCCAAATTACGAGAGTACTCGTTTAAAATAATGATAGATTTTATTATTATTCGGTCGAAAGCGCAACGCTGAGCCTCATGCAGGAACGTTTTGGTCGTTACCCCCTGCCGGGCAGCGGCCGCAGGTCGCACTGCCTGCCATCTTTACGTGGCTCGCCTTCCTCCACGCGCTTCTCTTCTCACTAATTAATGGATGGAATCGGGAGCGCAGCTCTCTGCTCAGCTGCTGCTGGTCTGCTGCGGATTTGCTGCTCTCGCAAAACTCGCCACGAGCAGGAGGGCTTCGAGAGGTCGCTGGTTTCGCCGGGCTCTCGTTGGTCGGCCGCTTGCGCTCCCGAGTGCAGGGGGCGACGCGCCGAGACTCCGCCTCCTCTTCGCGCTCTACGAGTCCCAATTGCCAGCTTTGGACTGTGGGGAGCGTCGCCCCAAAACTCCTCCTTTTGGTTCTTTTTCTAGACGCTGTAGAGTTGTGGCCCAATGGACGCCGAGGCTGAGGCACGGCGCCCCCCATTGGCCTGGGCGGAGACGAGGAGCGACCACTGCTGATGCCTCTCGAATGCTGATTTACGGTGGATCCTTAGACCAACGCACAATTTTTATTCGGTAATTACGGCCATAAATTGGTGCGGGATGACACCCCGCTGCGCCGGAGCAGCCTGGGCATCATGGCTGCCCTAGACCAAATGCCTCTCCTATTTCAGAGTTTTTCTTATTTTTTGAGCGCTCTGTAAGAGCCTTCATAATACTTACGGCAAACCTGCTTTCGGTTCTCTTGTTTGTGGCTTCTTATGACGATCGCCAAACCCGGGTTCCCTTGTAGCTGCAACGCTCAACGGCCCTCATATTTCTCGCGAAAATCCTCCTGGTTTTCCCTAGCGCACGACGGCTTGAGAGCAACGTATGACTTAACTTTGTTGACCGAGCCAAGCCTCATTCGTTCATTAAGGAGCTTTGATGCAGATTCGTTTGTCTTAAAAATGTATTTTAATTTTTTGTATAATCATTCATGTACTAGATAAAAGATGTGCTGTATAAAATAGTTGAAGATTTGTTAGCTGCCGTCATTTTCTTTAGATGTCACTATAGTTTATAGACCTTGTTATGTATATGTATAGTCTACAGGACGCACATTGAAAGAAAGTCGAGTTCACGCCGTATTCGAAAATATAAAGCTCTTCAACCCTGAATTTATTTTAAAATAATCTAATGTATTTTTTACAGCTGAATATATTAAAATCCATGTCAGATGCATAGGCAACTGCGCATAAATTTAAATTTAAAAACATTCGAGAAGTACTCTAAGCATTCTCTTTTATGTTGAATGACTTTATACATGAATGGCTTTATGAATGACATGAATGGCTTTATACATCAACTTATATGAGGTCATACTCCAATAACACGTGTCTGGTGATAAGAAGAGCGAGCGAGAATGAGGGACAGGTTGGGCCGTATGTTTACAAAGCTTGTTAGAGTTGGCGTTTGTTGACACTATACATTGGTGGTCATCTCGTCTGTTATTGCCTCTGCTCATCTCCGTGTTTGCTGACCTCTTGTGCTGCTCGTCTTCTGTGCCGTCTTATATCGTCCGTCATGGAAAATATCACATATTAATATCAAATGATCGCTGTTCGTACTGTGACATTAAGAAACCAGAATTTTATCATTTGTGGATAACTTATCAGAAGATATTTTTGGGGACTAGTTATTGTTCATACCAAGATATCCGGACGTGTTTCTGTGTAAAGGCTAATATTGTTACAGGACATTACGCACATATTGTGTACCTGCAGTCTGTTGCCCTGGTACGGTAGAGTAACACTCAGAAAAATTGGAGTGTCACTCGTCCGACTCTTTTTAATCATGGCCTCGATGTATCTTCGCGTTTATATTTGACCTTGCTTGATACTCACGTTGCCTATGGCAATGTTGCAGTTAGGCTGTTTTTGAAAATTTGTTACTTATTACTTATTCTTCTGCGCGGTTTTACATTACTACCGAGTTGCCGTCAATTTTTATCATATTTGGTTCACTTACGTTCCCATTCCAAGCTTACATGTATTCAAATTCCTTGTTTAACCCTTCTAAAAATGTGGAGACTTATAGTTTAGCACTGAGAAGGTTTAAAGTGTTTCATGTGGTATATCAAACCTGATTCTTGAAAACAAGTTATCTGCTCCATTCTCTTAAAACCAATTGAAATGAATTGATAGACATATAGAAATTGAACTGACATAGAAATTCAATTGACATAGAAAGACATAGAAATTGGCAATTGAAAGATAGACATTTTGTGCTCTAATCGTCGAGAATTAAGATGCAACTTATGAATAATTTTTAAACAAATGGAATGATTGTAAGTATTTTTAATTTTGTATATGAAATATTTATCATCTTGAACTAACACTTAATTTTTCTCTCCCTCTCTCCATATACGCGGGGCTGCGTCTCTGCTGAGCAGCTGGCTTCCAGGGTGAGATTCTCAAGCCAAGACAGATGAGTAAAGACAGACACGAGTCTGTCATAGTGAAGACTCGTGCTCGCATGAGTCTGTCATAGTGAAGACTTGTACTCGCATGAGTCTGTCATAGTGAAGACTCGTGCACGCATGAGTCTGTCATAGTGAAGACTCGTGCTCGCATGAGTCTGTCATAGTGAAGACTCGTGCACGCATGAGTCTGTCATAGTGAAGACTCGCACTTGACAACGTCTATATGAGACGTATGAGGCTAGACTCGTCACGAAACGCCGTCAATTTCGCTCATATCTGAATACGTGGGTTCACCACATCATTCCCATAAACAACATTGTTCAGATATAGGTAGATGGAGTCATGCACAAAAAATCTTTTCTTCTGTAACTGAAATACTTGTTAAGAAAGTATTTATAAAAATTGGTTGCTAGAAAGAAGTCCATTTAGGAATAGTTAATTACAAATAGTTTACACACCACCTGATTCCACGATTGAATGGAAAACCGGTGTCGCTACATAATTTGGATAATGCTTACTGTTTTAATTCGTGAGCCTCCTTGAATTTTTATACAAATAAATTTTCATTTCCTATCAACTATTTTCCGGGTAAAAATTTTTGAAATTCTTTTTAGAGACTTCTTCAATTCTTGGTCATATTCGTCACGTAGGAAATTGCGTAACCAGACCAACGTTGATAAATAATTAATTTTCATGTTTAACGATGTACGTAATTTCTGAAATACCATGATTAAATCTCCATCCTTCCTCGTTGTGTTAACTTAAATTAAATTCACATTGTTTTATTCGTGGTTAGTGATTTGATTTTCAAACAAATTGGCTTGGATTTTCAATTGAGAATAAAATCGTACAGAATGAGCGAAATTGGCGGCGTACTTCGACGTAAATTCTACGTAGCACATGATACGGAGGGTATTCCCTAACAAAATTTAGAGTCGCCCCAGCTTCTGGTAATCCAAATCAGAAGCTGCCGCGTCTGTAAATTTTCACTGGGTTGTTATACGTGCATGGTGGTCAGGTTGTTGTAGTGTGAACGTAGCATGGTTCTTATATGTGTTATTTCTGTTTAGATTTTATGTAAACTTTATCTGTGTGTAAATCGTGTACTCTATTTTTATCTTATCACTTCATTCACTCTCCCATCCCTATTTTTAGTTGTTACGAAGCCAATTCAAGTAAATTTATTTTTCTGTCTTTGACAGCAAATATATATTTTTAGAAATTAAAATCTTAACTTGAAATACCTATGCTGTATGAGCATTAGACATATTCAAATGCACTGGTTTTCTTATCCATATCATGAGTTAAAAATTTTTTTTGACGAGATTAATCAGCAGATTTATCAATAAAAAAGTCTTAAACACAAAAGAGTTTTTTTTTTCAGAGTAATTTTTCGATCAGTAATAAATAAAATTTAATGTGATATTTTTAAAAGGAAAAACTACAGTCTGTCATTTATGCTGAGTTCTAAAAATTTTTCTTGCACATTTCATTTATTTAGAACGTATCAATATCTGACGTACGTCCTAATTACTTTTTTTTTGTCATCTTGAACAGAACAATTACATCTGGGTTACGCTTCTAACTTCACTTCAGCTTTCATTTAATTCGTTCAATTGATTACAATTTGTTAGTATAATTTACAATTTGTGTAAAGCATTCGTTGTGTTTTTATTCAATTCCAGCAGGCTAACCCGGCCCCGTCATACGAAATAGTTTATAATTTCAAAACTAAAGTACTCTAAATGAAGAAAGGCCATTTCCAATCATCATTTAGTACAAAATTTCGTGTAAAATTTGAAATTGAACAAAGTTAAATTGATCAATTTCTGTGTATTTAGAAGGCAGGCTTAAAACGAGCAAATTTTGACATACATTAAATTGATACATAGAATTATCAGTTACAAATAATGCAATTTAGTAAGCGGAATGGCTCTCGTATGCGTGTTTCAGTAAAATAATTTGAATAAGAAACTAAACTTTGAATATCAAACTAAACAAATTGAAAAATTAAATATCAGCAAATTTACAGTTGATTTCAAATCTAAACTCTTGCTTTATTCTGATATTTAAACATATTTGGTAATTTATATATATTGTGACGCAATCTAATCCCCATATTTTCCACATTATTTATTTACTAGTCATCATATTCCTACTCAGTCCTGAAAAATTTTCAGCTTACTTGGATTTTCGTTAAAAATTACTTTAATTAATAATGGTTATTTATTTGTATAATTTTATTTATAAAAATAATGGTTATTTTTAGTTCTTTCTATTTTCCGCAGTACTGATGCTTTATGCCTTCGTTTAAATATATTTCGTTTCTCCTTTCAGCTGTGGTGACGAATTCGATGCCTTATCAGCCATTACATGGTGTGTTGGTTTGCATGATAACTCCTACTATATGTTCTTGATAATAAGGTATTTAGGAACGACGCATTTCCTGGTTTAATAAACATTATATTTGTAATAAATAAATCTCATGGTCTTTAAAAAGTTTCGGTCCATTTTCTTTCTGATTTTTTTCTTTATGACATGAACGTGATAAGTCGTCTCAAAAAATACCTCCTTATCAAGATTTATATTTTTTTTTAGCTGTAGAGAATCATGATCGTTGTAGAGTCTGTTTCAACGATCATGATCGTCGTCTGTTTTAACAAGTATTATCGTCAGTTTTGCGTGTTCCAAATTCATTGTGTGGCTGAAAAACATTTTGAAATTTTAGATAAAGAACCTTGATACCTGTTTCAATTGTTTATTGCTTCAATGAGTATCCACTTTCAGAAATTGTAATCTGAAAGCAAGAAGAATATCATGAAAATATATCATAATTTCATTTTCTGTTCTTTCAAATTCTTGGTCAATTTGCAATTCAAGCAAAAAATTATATAAATACTTAAATACCTGCATTTAGAAGTAGTGATTGCTTTACCTAGTCAATGTATAATTTAAATTCCCAGCAATTCATAACTTCAATTTTAATTTCAAATTCGTCTTGCTTATATCCTGAATTTTTTTTTATAAAAACGAACGTTTTGCGTCAATTTTGAAATTTTTCGACTATTAAATTATTCTGAGCACATCTGGTTCCCACAAATAACGCGAACTGATTTTAGAACTTTCTAATATATAATCCTATAGGTTTGATGCCATATATACCAGCGTGAAAACACTGTGCTGCTATCTGGCTCATGCCCGAAAACTCGAAGTACTGTTTTCATCCAAACGAAATAAAATTATGTTTTAGATCAATTTCACATCTTTAAACCGTACTCCTAATAATTTAATGGAAAATTTCCGCCAAATTCAACTTGAAACACTGCAGATCGTTATTCTAATTAACACATGGATATTTTTGTAATATTTGCTGTGCAATAAATTGATGAGTGCATTAGATAACGCATGCAATTTGTGACAGGATTCTAATTCATAAGCAAATTTATCCATCAAATCAATTAATTTATTTCCCGTAATAAATACTTTGTGTTTCAAAGAAAATGTTAACACTTTATGAAAAACTTCCGTTTAAAAACTTTTTCCCCAATTAGCACATTTTAAAACTGAATATATATAACGATTATCTGTTTTTGGAGACGCGGAAGCGATAAATCTTGTTGGACACGAAAACTGATGCTAATTCTTGTATTTGATTATCAGGAGTTAGATTTTGCTCATAAATGCACGATCATTATACATTTGTGCACGAGTACTCAGATTTAGCGCACGAATGTGGAGAGCAAGAAGGTTAGTAGCACGTTTGTTGTATAGTGCAGCTTAGCTAATGGCATGCACGAGTGTTGTGTTTAAGAGTTCTACAATTTAGTGTCATTTTTTTGGTGATTTTCAGTGTGTTTCGGATAAATTTTGCATGTTTTGCCCCATATTTATCAGAGAGAGATGTTTGTTTTGTTCAGGTCATTAGTAATTGTACGATTGATAGGTTAGGAAAAAATGTTTGAAATCTGAAAAACGCTCTCAGCGTGAATTTTTCCACTCGTGCTTTAATTTCTATTTAGCTCTTGGACTTTATTTCGATTATTTATTTATCTCCATTTCCTCAATATTTTAATCAAAGTAAAATTTTCACCGGCGATAAAGATAAATTTTATACTATATATAAGACTCTGTTTTCATTATAGGTTCAGCATCGAATACCTGCCAGTTACATTTATTGTATCATACATGACATTGACCCAAGTAATGATAAATTACTCTGCTACTTTATATGTCATCTGCATTTTAAGTTATGTATTTATAAACCGGTATCCATACCCAGATAAAGGGTACAAGCTTGATCGTGCTGATCGTTTAGGAACTTGGAAGCGATTGTCCGGCATTGTTTTATTCAAACTGGCCACCATGTGCTAGTTTATAACCCGAATGAGCCTTCAAGCAGATGTAAAACTCAATTGCTTTCATCCCCATAATTCATTGCTTGTAACGGAATATGATTTTTTGAGTTATATCGTCATTGCCTTCCGTAACACAACTTGAAACCGTTCTTGCGAATGTCTATGCCGTCCTCTGTTCGAGATTACATTACTCCAGACTCCTGAGTATGTCGAGGCTGTTACTGCCGTCCCTACACGAACTGCTTCGTATGATATTCTTGTGATAAGTGCAATATTATTTTACTTTCCGAAGCATATTTTTAGTTCATAAGCTCGATTCTACTCTCCTGGAGCACATTAAATATTCTAAAAGCTCAATAATACAAAATTTTCTGGAAAATAGATAGAGGACGCGGTGTATTCAAGCTTTAATGGTTATTTTTCTCAAGTCATGGTATCACCACATCGTTCTTTCAAGTTTGATATATGAAGAAACTTCTCATACAAGTTGTACTGTAAAATATAAGTTTCACATTCAGGTGTCAGATGATGCTTGTCGTTGAAGGGTAGCTTTTCAGGGGAGTAACTCAGACTTAAAAGCTCAATTCCATTATAATCGTTATTAATTTTTACTGTGGAAAAAATTAGCACTCAAGTAATAACTTCATTTTTCTGACGGCTTCTATTATGCGAGCTTGACTGATGCTGGCCATCAACTTATTTAGGCGTGAATACACTTTTCTAAAAGCTATTGCAAAATTCTTAGCCGCTTGATATCCCTTAATATTTTTTACCGCTAGATTACCTCAACAATAAAACTGTAAAAATTGGTTGCTTATAAGAGACTTTACGCTCTTGAAAATATCGGCGAAGCGAGGAAATTGCACATGTGCTGAATCATCCTTATTGACTTCCTTATCGATCTATTGCAAGGGTTACCGAGACAATTTTTATCTGTACTCGAATGGACCTTAGGAAGGAAGCTCGCTTGATTTTGTTGTTGGTGTTGCGTAAGTTCGTCGGCAGATACGCCATCGACAGTTCTGGCGTAGATGACGAAGCGGTGCTCTCGCTTCCTCATTTGCGGTCGCGCGCGTCATGCTGAGATAATTTTGGTCGCGTGCGTCTGCGCGCGTCGTGCGTACTGCGACGCGCAGTGCGTACTGCTAGGCGTAGTGCGCTCTGCGACGCGTAGTGCAGAGACCTGAATATGACTAAATTTTTGGTCAATTATTTGAGACGATCCGAATTAGACTGTCACGTTCGTGGCGGCTTTTTTTACTTGAGCTTTACACACCGTAGTACGGTTTCGAAATTTTTAATTTCGTTGTGTATTAGTTTTTCCCGAATTTATTGATCATTCATTATCAAAAACTTTTTGAACCATAATCACTATTTGCCACCACTCAACTACGGCACATGAATTAATATATTGTTTCAAACCTAATAACATTACAGTGTCGGCAAAAGAGGGATGAGATCTGATTAAAATTCAGAATATAAAACAGATAAATGACACGGTGTCTAAAATGAGAGAATCAGCACTTGATCGTTCTTTTTACTACATGTTATTTTGAACAGACCTAATATTTTCATATTTTGCATGAACAACCCGACTGCTCTGTCTCTCTACTGCGTTTCCTAACGCTCTGTAATCAACACGCACAGTCCATTCATTTTTACAAGTTTGTGTATTATCTCGTTCAAGAATTTTAGATGAATTTTCTCTTGTTTCGGTCATGGTATTTTCCCCTATTTATTCACTTTCTCTAAAATTATGTTTACAAATACTGTACATATCATTGATTGCATCAGCCATGCGATTTTTCTAGACAATTGCGTGTTTTTAGCGCTATTGGTTGCATGTATTCTTGCTTAGGTGGTTGCAATGAGGTTCGTTTAGAGGTTCCTTGTGTCCGGTAGCGTCGATACGACCAAGAAAGATTGCCCAATGCGGCACTCAGCATGTGGTCGCCACATGCTGACGTCGCACTGAGGGATTGCCGCTGCGTGATTAGGCGCTCTGGCCCACGACAACGACTTCTTCCGAGCAGCGGGCGGTTCACGAGGGGAAAACTCGAATTTTTTTTAGCGATGCTTAAAAAACATGAAATCTTCATGAAAAACATGCAAGAATGGTAGAATTTTTTAAAAAGAAAGTAACAAGTTGTGAATGGCATCAGATGTATAATAAATGCATTTGACTATTCCTTCAGGTATCGTAGTTTCGTTTGAAAAAACAGGAGAACTTGAATCAAGCACGATGAACATTCGCAATATATCCGTTTAGACTTCAGACGCTTCATATAGTTCAAGAACGTTAAGAACCTAATTTTTTCCCAGTCTAACCTGCAGATATTGTTCTTTAATTTAATTGGTTTTTCGAAATTGGAGGGTCAGTGGTTTATTGAAAAAAAAAGTTTAGAAGCAGAGGAGTTAATAACAGCAGTCGACTGATTTCACAATCCTACTGATAAGCACTTAAAGCCTATACAGCAACTGCCATGATGAAGAACAACCAGATAACTAAAACACTAAAAATTTTTCATAAAACACGTCTATTCAATGGGATAAAGATTATACAAATACTCAATAATAATGTGAGTGGCAGGATTCGCAACCATTCAACGTATAATTGAAAGCCTTTGATCGGTTTCCCTTTCTAAAACTTCAAATCCGTGTTAGATGTTGCTTTTGAATACGTTTAAGGTTCAATCATTGTATAAATCTTATCACATTTTCCCCAATTTACCTTACCTCATATGCATTATTCCTATCTTCCATTGTCCATATCATGCCCATCATTCGCCATTGTGCTGCGCGGATGGTGCGCCGCGAGTCCGGCCGCTATAACTGCTCGTTGCGTCCGCAATAACAGTCCGCACTTTAGGACGGCTGGCAATTTTGTGTGAAAATGTAATGTGTTGTTGAGCTTCAGTCCAATGTTTTGACGGATAACCCGGCCCTTATTGCCTGATAAAATTTACATAAATTCCTGCTTTGGCTCAACGATTGGAGCAGAACGTTTAAATTGTGGCAGTT